AAAGACATTTAAAAAGTAGTTGTCAGGCACAGAGGTGCAGGCTTGTAACCCCAGCAGTTTGGGAGGCTGAAGCAGGAGGATCGCAAGTTCGAAGCTAGCCTTAGTAACTTAGTGAGACCCTGTCTCAAAATAAATAAATAAATAGGACTCGGGGTGTAGCTCACCGGTAGGGAAAAAAGGTAAAGAAGAAATTTTAAATATAGGTTACAAGATATATGGTGACATGATATTAGAGAGAAGGACCTTAATGGCAAGGTCAGGAAGGCCCAGCTGAGGAGGTGATGGATGAGGAAGTGAGCCGTACAGATACACAGGGCAAGAGCATTCCAGGGAAAGGGCAGAGCACATACAAAGGTCCTGAGGCAGCACTGTGCTGGGGAAAGTCAAGGAAGCCAGTGTGTGCACAGATGGGGGTGAGTGAGGGGAAGTGGGTGGGAGTGGGTTCGAGAGAGACCAGGGAACTTGTGGTTGTGCTGAGGACTTTGGCTTTTATTCTGAGTGAGGCAGGAGGGATTTGAAGCAGGGGACTGATGTCCTTGTGCCTGTCCAGGATTCTGCTGCCACGAGGGAACTTTCTGTTGGCAGCAGGGATGGGGGGGGGCAGGGATGGAAACCGCAAGGAGGTGCCTGCAGTAGCCCAGGCAGCTGGAGCAGCTGCGGGGGCTGGACTTTGGACACATTTTGGAGGTCAAGTCAACAGGATTTCCTGCTGAATGGGATGTGGGGGGAGAGGCTGAGGGGAGTGTGAATCTCCTCCAGGATCCCCGCTGGGGCAGCTGGAAGGACAGTGGTTTTTCTGCAGCTCCAGGAAGTAGGTGCCCAGGAAATGCCTCTCCTGTGCTGTCAGTTAAACTGGATGTCGTGGGCCCCGTTTGGGATTGCACCACGGGGAGCAAAGGCCAGGCTGCCTCAGGCTCAGGCAGGTGGCGGGGCTGCGAGCCAGCTGTCTTCCACCTCTGCTCTCTCCAGGCTGCGTCTACCTGTCTCTCCCCTGGGGCCAGACCAAAGTCATCTCTCCCATCTCCACCTGGAATTCACTTTCACCCAGGTTAAAGAGGCTCCTGCAGCATCCTGCCGGGTCTCTGTCACCAGGTCTCTGATAACTGCTAAGAGGCGACGACTCAGCTCCTTTCTGCAGGGTCCAGGTGGACATCAGTCTCCTGGGATGTGACTTGGAGGTAGAGTGCTTGCTTGCCTGGCGTGCGTGCGTGAGCCTTGGGCTCCTTCCCAGGACTGCAGGGGGAGTCTCCTGTCCCCCGTGCACCTTCTGCAATCTTTCCCCATCTCCCAGGCTTCTGGGAGGGTTTAACCCCCTGGATTTTGTTTTTTGTTTTGGTATGGGAAATTAAACCCATGGGCACTTAATCACTGAGCCACATCCCTATCCCAATTTTGTATTTTATTTAGAGACAGGGTCTCACTGAGTTGCTTAGCACCCCGCCATAGCTAAGGCTGGCTTTGAACTTGCAATCCTCCTGCCTCAGCCTCCAGAGCCCTGGGATCACAGGTGTGCACCACCTGGCCCGGCTGTCTTTGTGTCTTAAAGTGGTGCTTTTGATGGCTGGATGTTTTACTTCCAAGGCAGAACTGATCAGGCTTTTCTTTCATGCTGTTGTGTTTGTGTGTGCATGTACACAGGTGTGTGTGTCCTAACAAATGTTTCTCTACAATACAGCCATAATAAGGAATAAGAAATTTTTTTATGTGCTTCCCTCATGCTTCCCAGTGACATGAAAGGTGGCCTCTATCACTTATCAACTCTACATAGAGGGCTGGGTGTGGTTCAGTAGTAGAGCATTTGCTTATCATGCACAGGCCCTGCGTTTGACCCCAGGACCACACAGAGACGCACTCACACTGAGTCTCCACAGCTGGGTCTGTTTTGGAGCTTTGTACCTTTTGCTTCTTTCCTTCCTTCTCCTTCTCCTTCTCCTTCTTTTTTTCTTTTTCCTGGTACTGGGAGTTGAACCCAAGGGTGCTCTACCACTGAGCCACCTTCTGGTCCTTTTTCCCTCTATCTTGAGACAGGTCATCACTAGGTTACCCAGGCTGGCCTAGGGCTCGTGATCCTCTTGCCTCGGCTGCCGGGTAGCTGGGCTGACAGGTGTGCCACTGTGATCTCTGCTTCATTTCATTTTGTGGCCACGTAATACTCCACTGTCTGGAAACAGTGTGGTTGATCCACAGATCCGGGCAGGACCACCAGGCTGCCTTCGCCTTTCGGCACTGAGGACAATGCCAAGGATGTGCGTGCACTGACTTGTGCGGACAGACATCTGATTCTCTTGGGTGAACAAGCAGGAGTGCGGCTGCAGAGTCAGGGGAAGCGTAGTGGATCTTTACAAGAAAGTGCCAGAGGCTGCACCTTTGGGAGGTTCCCATCAGCAATCTCATCAGCAATGCCTGAGAGCTCCGCATTTGAATGGGTTTGCAGTGACCTCAAGAACATTTTTCTTTCTCTCTCTCTCTCTGGTACTGGGATTGAACCCAGGGCCTTGCATGTACTAGGCAAGTGCTCTCCAGCTGAGCCACATCCCCAGCCCATTTTAAATTTTAGTTTGAGGGGCTGGGATTGTGGCTCAGTGGTAGAGCACTTACCTAGCACGTGTGAGGCACTGGATTCAATTCTCAGCACCACACAAAATAAATAAAGTGTGTCCATCTACAAGTAAAAAAATTTCTTTACTTTGAGATGAGGTCTCTGTAATTGTTGAGGCTGGCCTCAAACTTGCAATCCTCCTGCCTCAGACTCCCAAGTCCCTGGGATTATGGGTATGTGCCACTGTGCCCAGCTCCATCTCAACAGTGTTAAAACGTGAATATTTTCTCCTTTTCCTTTTTTTTTTTTTTTTGAACTGAGGATTGAACCCAAGCATGCTTAGTCACTGAGCACACCCCCAGCCCTTTTTTAGATTTTAGAGATAGGGTCTCACTGAGTTGCTTCCTCCTGCCTTGGCCTCCTCCAGAGCCACTGGAATTATAGGCGTGTGCCCTTGTGCCCAGCTGTTCTCTCCTCAATGTACTCTTTGTCCTTCCTTCCTTTCTTTCCTGAAGGCCAATCCAGGCCTCAAACCCAAGGCCTCAAACATGCTGAGCACATGTTCCCCCCGTGAGCTGCACCCCCAGCCCCACGCTGGCTGTTCCTTTTTTGCTTCATTTTCTAGTCTTTTCTCTAAACTCTGATAGCCAGAGAACCGACAGCTGTCTTCAAATGGCTTCTCTCTCCGCCCCATTCCTGTGTGACTTCAGCGGACCCCGGGATGATCCCTCAGTGTCCTGGTGACTTCCAGGGTCTGTTTCCCAGGAGGCTTCCCTCCCAGCTCCAGGGCCACACTCTTCATGGGACTCACAGAAGCTCAAACTGGAAAGGGCAGGGGGCGCAGCTCAGAGATCGGACACTTTCCCAGCACCGTCAAGACCCTGGGTCCAGGCCTAGTGCTAAGACACACACACACAAAACCGGACAGATCACTCCCACCGGCTTCCCACTTCTGCCAAGGAAGATTTCAGGGGCAAAACTGAGGGGGAGCTCTAATCCTCCTCTCCCTTAGACCCAACTGGTACAAAGTCTCACGGCTTCCACCTTGAATGTGCCAGAGCCAGGCACATGGTGCGTGCCCATAATCCTATTCATGAGGGAGACTGAGGCAGGAGGATCATAGGTGCAAGGCTGCCCTCAGCCGTCTAGTGAGGCCCTAAGCACCTTGGCGAGACCCTGTCTCAAAATAAAACATAACAAGGGCCAGGGATGGGCTGGGGCTGTAGCTCAGTTGGTAGGGTGCTTGCCTCACATGCACAAGGCCCTGGGTTCGATCCCCAGCACCACACTCACACACACTTCACACTCTCACACACTGCCCAGTGTAAAGCAAAAGGAATTCTCCGGATTTTTCCCTGTGCATATCAACAATTATGGTGTTTACTGTCCACTCCTGGAGATTCCTCTGGTGTCTCTGATGGTGCCTTGCATACAGCAGGCATTAAATTAATGTCTATGGAAGGAGTGTGTGCTTACTAACCCCTGGCCCAACTGTAAACTCTCCTTAAACCCGAGGGTGAGATAAAAAACCATCACCAATTCACTTTCCAGATGAAGAAACTGAGGTGAGAGAAGCTAAGTGACCCACCTAAAGGCCACACAGCTGCAGAGTGGTACTGCAGGGAGCCCTGTCCCCTGCAGTGGGACATGCAAGGAGAGCAGACACGCCTAGGGCTGTCCTCGCCTTGCCCAGCGGCTTCATCACAGGTGCTGCCGGCCTCCCTCACACTCTGCTCCGAGGCCAAAACCCCAGAGGGCCACTTTGGGCAGGTGGGTGGAAGCCAGACCTGGGGGCCATCTCACAGTGAAGGACTGTCCTGGCTCAACTGCCAACAGAGCTGCTGCTGAGAAACGCAAAGTCCTAAGCGGGGTGTGCATGTCTCCGGCAAACCCAGGGCCTTGGTGAACCAGCGTCTGGGAACCAGCCTCCGCAGCTCCGCCCTGCTCAGCTGTGATAAGCTACGTGAACGTGGCCAAGGATTTTAACTTTTCAGGGCTCAGTGATCTCACCTGAAAAATGGGGACAAGAGTGGCTTCTTCTTGTTTTTTTTGTTTGTTTGTTTGGTAACGGGGATTGAACTCAGGGCCACTCAGCCACATCCCCAACCCTGTTTTGTATTTTATTTACAGTTGCTTAGGGCCTCGCTGTTGCTGAGGCTGGCTTTGAACTTGCAATCCTCCTGCCTCAGCCTCCCCAGCTTCTGGGATTACAGGTGGGCATCCTGTGAGGATGAGGAAGGCGACTGGATCAGTGCCCAGATGCTTGGTGCACTCAGGGGCCTCGGAGTCTCACTGTCTAAACCCATCCCGCCGAGTCTTGGGAACCCTTTGTTGGTGGCCACAGAGCTGATACCCATTGACCCCACCTCCTCCAGCACAGCAGGGTGCTTGCCGACTGACTCATTGATGGATGGAGGGCAGGTGTCCTGAGGGTCCCTGGGATGAGGCAGGGGCTGGAGGATGCGAGGCCAGGCAGGACCACGGGTTTATTGGGGGCTCCACACGCACACTCATGGCGTCACACGACAACAGCAAGGTTACTCGGGACACTGAAGGTGGCCTCTGCCCACAGCTGGGCCCAGAGGCAGTGGGGTACAGTCTCCTCCCTTGTGGCCCAGACCCAGCTGGGTCCCTTCCTCCAGAGCGGCTGAGGGAGGGGGCTGCAAGCGGGTGAGTCCGAGGTGGCGGCGGGCGGCCTCACTCCAGGGACTGCAGCATCAGCAGCTGCTTCAGCACCTTTGTCTGGCTGGTCTCGCGGATCTCGCCGGCCAGGAACATCTCGTCCACGACCGTGTAGACCTGTGTGAAGGAGGGCCCGGGGCAGAGGAAGTGGGCATCAGGGGCCCTGGTGGCTGAGGGCTCCAGGCCACACGCGCCCCTCCCTGCCTGTGCCAGGAGCTTACCTTGTAGAAGTTGAACACCAGGTCCAGCTCACAGACATTGTGGAAGTACTCGTTCAAGACCTGGGCGAGAACAAAGGTGGTAACCAACGGGCAGGGAGGGGGACACGCAGAGACAGGAGCAAAGGCATCAGAAAGAGACGGAAAAGCCAGGCACAGTGGCACACGCCTGTCATCCCAGCCACTGGGAGGCTGAGGCAGGAGGATCGCAAGTTCAAGGCCAGCCTCAGCAACTTGGCCAGACCCTGTCTCAATACATAAAAAAGAACTGGGGACGTAGGTAAAGCACCTGGGTTCAATCCCCAGGATCAGAAAAATCAAAATAAATGGCACAAAAGCAAGAGAGACACTGAGGAAAAGGGAGGGAGAAAGATACAAAAATCCAGGGAGGGAGACAGAGACCGGGATGTTATTAGAGACGGAGGATAAGGAAGAGTGACAAGATCCCTGGGTGACAACAGAAAAAGGTGGCAGAAGGGCTAGCCTGAGGCACAGGAAGAAAGAGTCGAGACCGAGCTGGACGGCGGGAAGGCAGAGGAAGAAGGGGCTCTCCAGAAGCAGCAGAGATGGGGAGGGGAAGAGAGCCCGGCCCCCAGGCCCCGCTCCACTCACCTCCACGAAGTTGTGGATGGCCTCCAGATAGGCCAGGTTGTTGTCATTGACGTCCACACAGATGCAGAAGTACAGGCCAGCGTAGCGTCGGTAGATGATCTTAAAGTTCCGGAACTGTGGACAGAGAGGCTGTCAGCGATGGGGCAGGCCTAGGACCAACGTGCCGGCAGAGTGGGCATGAGCTGCCACTCTGTAGTCTCTGAGGCCCAGCTCTGTGCCTGGCCTGTGCTGGGGGCCCAGCGGTGAGCGGGATACCCTAGCTCTGCCCTCCCAGGGCTCACGGTCCAGGGGAGGGAGACTCATGCCCTGTCAGCAGGTCAGGCAGCCCCAGTGGGGACCCAACCCTTTATAGAGCCTGGGAGCCAGCGAGGCTTCCTGAAGGAGGGCATCAAATTTGAAACCTGCGGGATGGGCAGTGGCACCGAAGGCAGAGGGGGCTCAGGGCTGAGAGGGAGCCTGGACTGTCCAGTGGAATCCACCCAGCCTCACCGCTGCCACCTCTGGAGGTCGAAGTCCATAGATGGATTAATTCCATCAGTCATTCTACAAATAATTCCTGGGCCTACTGTGTGCCAGGCTTACGGTGGGCAGTGCAGAGGTCACCATGGTACCCAAGACAACCTGGGCCCTGTGCTCACTGAACTGAGCCCATATGCTTGGGACCACAAGGGTTTCAGACTTCAGAGTCTTTCAGATTTTGGAATATTTGCACAGACTTTACTGGTTCGATATACCTCATCTGAAAGCCCAAAATTCTCCAAAATCTGAAAACTCGGGTCAGCACCCAAAAGGTTTCAGATTTGAGCCGGGTGGGGTAGCACATGGCTACAGTGCCAGCCCCTCGGGAGGCTGAGGCAGGAGTACAGCTTGTGCCCAGGAGTCCAAGACCACCAGGGCAGCAGGAAGACAGTAGGACTGTGAGACAGTAAGACTCTCTCAAAGAAAAAAATATTTTTTTTCACATTTTGGATTTTCAGATAAGGGATGCTCAATTGAAATATGTAAACATGAGAATAGTAACACAATAAACACATCCACACCACCCATGAATAGCTGCTGGACCAGGGAAGGAGACTAATTTTACATGCACAGGTAAAGAGATTGATAGGGGCTGGGGCTGGGGGTAGAGTGAGTGCCTAGCACGGGCCTGCATTCCATCCCCAGCGCGTGTACACACACACACACACACACACACACACACATAAAGGCAGAGGGACACTAACAAATTGACATTTAGATATGGACACAGCCTCTGGGGTACTAAATTGGGATTAGCCAAAATCTGAAGTTCCAGGTCTCTGGGATGTGTGTGTGGCGCCATCTGGTGGCCACTGTAGGTGCCAATATTAGCCTCTGAAGTTTTCACTTCGGCTTACCCTTTGTTAATTTCTACGAGATGACTTTGTGCAGTGTTGCCACACATAACCCAGGGACCCAGGGACGCATTACCTGGTCAGGGCTGCCGATCAGGGCTCTGCTACCGTCCGCGCTCTCCCACTCCTGGCCCCGGCCCCTCAGCTGCTCTTCTCGGGGCCTACCCCTACCTCACTCTCTTCCCCAGGAACCTCTTTCTGAAGGCGGGGGCAGGAGTCCCCTCTGAACAATGTTGGCCCTGCCCACACCCACCCTGTCCTGTTCCAGGTCGTCTCTGTCTGGGATGAGTCTGTCCCCAGATGGCACTGTGAGCCTAGGTGGGAAGCTGGGCATGTCGCTCTGTGTCCCCAGCACCACACCACCCAGGGCTGACACCACCGCACTGATGCTACAGCAAACTGAATGATGGCCGCTGAAGACACTCATCTCCTGATCTCTGGAGCCTGTGACTGGCCCTGCGTGGTGAGAGGGACTTGGCAGATGTGATTAAGAAGTTTGAGGGCTGGGCTGGGGCTGAGCCTAGCAAGTGGGGCCCTGGGTTCGCTTCTCAGCACCACATTAAAAAAATAACTAAACTAAATAAAGGCACGCTGTCCATCTACAATGGCAAAAAGGCGGGGCCTGGGGATGTGGCTCAGTAGTTGAGTGTCCCTGGGTTCACTCCCTGGTACCAAAACAAAAAAGAAAGAAATGGGGAGATGGTCCCCAACTATTTGGATGGGATGATGTCATTGCAGGGGTCCTTATATAGGAAATGGGGGGGGGGGGGCAGTGAGAGCCAGAGAGATGGAGGCTGCCGCCCTGGTGCTGCAGGAGGAGGCCGGAGTTTTGGGCTGGCAGGCGGCTGCTGGCGCTAGAAAAGCCAAGGAAATGGATTCCCCTCCTGGCCCCAGAGGTTCACGCTACTGTGTTTGAGGCGATTTGTGACCGTGGCCAGGGAAGCTGCCTGGGTCTCCCGCTTCCCCTCCCTGTTTCTCCCTCACAGATCCCAGGCCCTGGTGGCTGCTATATCATAAGGGACGTGTAATGTGACATTCATTCTGCCCGATACTCCTGTGTGTCAGCATTGGATCAATGAACGACCTCTGCCCCCACCCACCCCTTCCTGCAGAAAGCCCTGCCTCCTCCGGCTGGCCAGGCCCCCCAGCCAGGTCCCCCCAGCCAGCCCTGCCCACTCGGATGGCCACCGCCTGGAGACAGGCCTGAGACCCAGGTGGCGCACGCTGACCGGCCCCAGGTGGGACACAGCAGTGCTGCGAGTGAGGACCGCACGGTGAGCCTGGGTCCAGGGGGACCCAAGACCTGCGGCCGGGCCGTCTCCCTCCCCGCTGACCCACTGCTGCCCCGTCTCCCCAGGCCCCACGTACCCGCTTCCGGACCCGCACGTGGGTATCAAGCCAGCGCTTAGGGCGCACTGGGCGCTGCACGGCACCCCTGGCACCCCAGCTCCCCTTTCCTCCTCTCACCCACGATCCCAATGGCCAGCTCTGGGCGAGGCCACCCGTGACTTTGGCTGGCCACCCTCAGAGGCCAGTCCCACCCTCCTCCTGCACACTCTTCCGCCCCCGGCTGCCAGTCTCCAGAACACAGCGGCTTTCCTCCGCCTTCTGCCTCCAGCCGTGGCCCCCGCGCCCCCTGGTTCTCTCTTCTCACGGCCACTCCGAGTCCTTGGCTTGGTTCCCCACATTTCCCAGGTCGCCGCCGCTCGGTGACCTGCACCTTTCCCTCCCCCATGGCCTCCCTGGGGCAGGGGCAGACACCTTGGACTGACCTTCCCAACACCTCCACCTGCTCAGCCAGATCAGCACATCTCAGAAAACGGCAGGCCACCTGCCTGGGGCTCAGGCCCAGACCCCAGCCCTCAGCCTGGTCTCTCCCCTGCACTGCACGCCCATGCCTGGCCACCCCGTCACTTCCATGGTGGCTCTGTCACCAGTAGATGTCTCTGGACCACTGCGGTCACCCCCAGAGGAGGCCCCTGCTTCTGCTCTTGTTCCCTACAAGGGATCCCAGAGGTCTAAGGCAGGTCCATGTCCCTCCTGGGCTCAAAATGCTCCTGGGCTCCATTTTTCTGAGTCTCCCAGGAGGCCCCTGAGGCCCAGCACAGGGCTACCTTTATCCTCACCGGCTCCCGCCCTCCTCCCTGCCGGGCCCTGGAACACCCTCCATGTGTTCCTGCCTCAGGGCCTTAGTCTTGCTGTTCCCTGAGCCTGGAATGTTCCTCTCTCAGATAGCCATCTTCTTCCACTGCCTGGACTTTTTCAACTCCTTTGGGTCTTGGCTCTAATGTCACCTTTTACCATGCTTTCCAGAAAAAACAAAACACAGAAAACTGCAGTCTCTCCTCCAGTGTCACCCAGCACTCTGCCCTCAAGTCAGCTGCTAATTGTTCCTGCTGCCATTCACGGTCACCTGACCACCATAGCCAAGACCGGCTCCCACCAACCAGCACAGGGTTCTCCAAGGCAGAGATGGGTGTCTGCGACAGTCTCTGTGGGACCCTAGGACCAAGAACAGTGCCTGGCACACAGCAGGCCTGTGGTAAATGTCTGTTGGATTCTTCAGGACAATGGGTCCCACCTCTTTTTCTGTGAAGTGCTGGGAGTGACTCCAGGGCCTCCTCACGCTAGGCAAGTGTCCACCACTAAGCTACAGGCCAGCCCCAGGCTGCTGTCTTGAGCAGGTGAATGTCATGGGAATAAAAGGTGAAGACTCAAAGATTACAACAGACCAAGAGCCAGGTGTAGTGGCACATGCCTGTAATCTCAGTGACTTGGGAGGCAGAGGCAGGAGGATTGCAAGTTTGAAGTCAGCCTCAGCAACTTAGCAAGGCCCGAAACAACTTAGCAAGACTTTTTCTCAAAATAAAAAATAAAAAGGCTCGGCACGGTGATGCACACCTGTAATCCCAGAGGCTCAGGAGGCTAAAATAGGAGAATTGCGAGTTCAAAGCCAGCCTCAGCAACGATGAGGCGCTAAGCAACTTGGGGAGACCCTGTCTCTAAATAAAATACAAAATAGGGCTGGGGATGAGGTTCAGTGGGAGAGCACTCCTGGGTTTAATCTTCCATACCACATTAAAAAAAAAAAAAAGAAAAGAAAAGAAAAAGGCAGTATTACCAATTTGATTTGGTCGGGTCTGATAACAGTATTGTGATGATGTAGGGAAATGTTTTTATTTTCTAAGCTACATCCCAAAAATATTTGGAGAAGAAGTATGATGACATCTGTAATTTAATTTAAAACACTACAGGAAACGACACTCTTTATCCTATCCTCTCTACTTCCGTGTGAATGAACATTCCTATAGTGAGTTTTACAAAGGGAAATGAAGGGCTGAAGGGTAGCTTAGTGGCCGAGCACTTGCCTAGCATGCCTGAGACGCTGGGTTCCAGTCTCAGCAGCAGCAAAGAACACAAACTAACCTCTTTGACAATAAAGTAAATAAGTAAGGTAGAAGGAAAGATAAATGTAAATGCTGATAAGATCAAGGAGTAGGTTTATGGATCTTCAATCTACTCCTCTCTTTCACTGTGGTAATCTCCATCTTTGTAATTTTGAAAGGTACCAAAGCCCAGTGTGGTAGCACATGCCTGTAATCCCAGTGGCTCAGGAGGCTGAGGCAGGAGGTTCACAAGTTGGAGGCCAGCCTTAGCAACTGAGAGAGGCCCTAAGCAACTCAGCAAGACCCTGTCTCTAAATAAAGTATAAAAAAGGGCTGGGGATGTGGCTCAGTGGTTAAGCGACCCTAGGATCAATTCTTGGTACCAAAAAACAAAAAATACAGAAAGAAAGAAAAAAGAAAAAAATACCAAATACAGGAAGGAAGGTAAAGTCAGCTGAGGGAAGACAGGAGAAGGTGGGTCAGTCAAAGGGTCATTTGAGCTAGAAGTTGGGCAGGAGGCCAGAGGAGGTCACAAGGAGGCAGGGGGTGTGGGAGGCACGGAGGGGCATCTGTCACCTCCACAAAGTTGGTGTGTTTGGCGTCTCGGACGGTGACCACGGCGTGCACCTCCTCAATCAGCTTCTGCTTCTCATCGTCATCAAACTGCATGTACCACTTGGCCAGGCGCGTCTTGCCTGCGCGGTTCTGGATGAGGATGAATCGGATCTGGGGGCAGCGGGAGGAAGAGGAGGAAGTGAGAGAGGCAAGGAAGTGGCCTGGGCTAGAGGCCACTGCCCCACAGCCCCACCCATCCCTGCAGGGAGATAGGGTGCAGGGCCCCAGCTGCTCCCTAGAGCCCACACAGGCCTCGCTGTCCCTGCGCTCTGTCCCAGGTCCCTCCAGCCCGCCTTCCAGCAGTGGCCAACTCTGAGCCAGCCCAAGGGCCCCAAGTCCCGGGCTCCATGGCTTCTTGTCTGCCTCTCACAGTCTGTTTCCCCGCCGGCAAAACAAGTTCCAAGAAGAGGGTGTTTTACCAGGTTTCTGGAGGTTTCATAAGCTTATAAACCTAGTTTGGAGGCTGGTAAGCAGGAGGCCCTCAATGAAGGTTTGCATCTCAATTCTTCAGCCTGAGCCCTGGCTTTCCACTTCTTTTTCTTTTCTTTCTTTCTTTCTTTCTTTCTTTCTTTCTTTCTTTTTAACATTTTTTAGTTGCAGATGGACACAAAATCTTTATTTTATATATTTATTTTTATGTGGTGCTGAGGATCGAACTCAAGGCTTCACACGTGCTAGGCGAGTGTTCTACCACTGAGCCATGACCCCAGCCCCCACTTCTTTTTCTTTTGGATGACTTCTTAAAATTGTGATGTGAATTATTATTCACATATCATGAAATCCACCCTCTTTTTTGGGGAGTGGGGCAGGATACTGGGCATTGAACTCAAGAGCACTTAACCACTGAGCTACATCCCCAGCCCTCTTTTTTTTTTTTTAAATATTTTTTTAGTTGTAGATGGACACAATATTTTATTTTTATGTGGTGCTGAGGATCGAACCCAGTGCCTTCCACATGCAAGGTGAGCGCTCTACCACTGAGCTACAACCCGAGCCCACCAGCCGTCTTTTATATTTTATTTAGAGACAGAGTCTTACAGAGTTGCTTAGGGCCTCACTAAGTTGCTGAGTCTGGATTTGAACTTGCAATCCTCCTGACTTGGCCTCCTGACCTGCAGGGATTACAGGCACGGCCACCATGCCCAGCAAATTCCCTCTTATACAGTAGACAGTTCAGTGGTTTTTTTAGGATATTCTCTTAGAATAGTCACAGTTGCACAAATATCACCACTAATTCCAGAATATTCTTACCATCCCCCAAAACCTCCTACCCATTAGCCTCAACTCTTCCTCCCCTCAGCCCCTGGCAACCAGTCTACCTCTTCCCCTGTGGATTTGCCTGTTCTAGACATTTCACAGTAGTGGGATCACATAGATGTGGCCTTTTTAACTGGCTTCCTTCACTTAGAGTCATGTCTGTCCAGGTCGTAGCACGCACCAGCGCTCTGTTTCCCTCCCTCCCTCCCTTCGGCAGTGCTGAGGATAGCGCCCAGGCCCTTGCACATGCAGACAAGTGCTCTCCACTGAGCTACAAGTCCAGTCCTGCAAAGTCACTTCTGAAGTGGCTTAACTGCTCAGTGCCTCGGTTAATGTGATCAGTAAACAATACACGAGAAGCACCAGAGCAGCGTCTCGAGTTCCGAGCTCCATGTTAGCTGTCATCGGTTCTAGGAAGTTTGCTATTAAGGTTCTGAAAAGACAGGTGAATCATCTCGGGCTACTGTGAAAACCACAGTTAAGTCAGAAGGGCTCAGCCTTTACACGCTGAGCTCACACACACACATACACATGCACACACACATACACACACAAATTAGTTATCATTATGACTGAAGTATTCGATCAAGAGTTCAGGCTTTGGGCTGGGGATGTGGCTCAAGCGGTAGCACACTTGCCTGGCACGTATAAGGCACTGGCTTCAATTCTCAGCACTACATATAAATAAATAAAGCTTTATCAACAACTAAAAAAATAAAACGAGTTCAGGCTTTAATGCCTGGCACTATCAATTACTGGCTGTGTGTCCATGGCAGATCAGTTAACCTCTCTGAGCCTCAGCTTCCCTTTCTGTATAATGAACTTAATGAGAATACCTCCTCCAAAGAGCAACACATGGGTAAATATAAAGGTAGAGTAGAGCACATAACATATACTAAGTGTCATATAAACACTGTGGCTTAGTAGCATTATACTGTGCTGGTACTTGACTTTGAGAAAACCCTGACCCAAACTCACCTATCTAGGAAGGCTGGCTTTGGGCCAAGTTCTGTCTGAGATTGGCATGCTCTTGCCCATTTTTCAGATGAGAAAAACAGGTTCAGAGAAAGTAAGTCTCATAGCCGGAAAGCCGATTTGGAGTTCAAAGACCTTGCTCTGAACCTCCTTATCCCAACTTGTAGGAGCTCCTAACCCTTCCTAGGCCTTCACACATTCTACCCCACCTCCAGCCCACCAGGCTGGACAGGAAGAAGATATTACACTCTACTTCCAAGAACTCCTTCTGCTGAGCCAGGGAAACCCACTTCCTAATAGGGCCGGGGTCCAGTGCAGGAAAGGAAGTGGCATGGATGGGCATAGCAGGGAGCCACAGCCTGGGGCAAAGCCAGGGACAGAGGGGTCACATGGGAAGGGGAGCTAGAAGCAAGCCTAGAATTGAGAGCTCTGCCTCTTATTCCCAAGTCCCCTGAATACTTCCTGTTTCACCTTCCAGTGAGATTCTCTCCACGTCCAGGAATCCACCCCGCGAGGGCCATTCCCTCCAGGACCCTCATCCATCCTCATCTGTTGTTGTCCCCTCTGATGCCTCCCAACCTTCCCCTGTCTCCAGTCCCCATCCCCCATCCTCCTGATCTCCAGTTTTTCACTTTCACTCCCCTCTCTCAAGTCTCAGTGAGTCTTTCATTGGAGATATCCCTTCTCCAACTCCAGAGCCTCATCCCTTGTTCCAAAGTCACATCTTGTTTCCAAGACCCTGTCTTTGGAAAACTCACCCACTGTCCTGACATTCTCCTCCATCCATCTCCCTTCCTGATTCCCTGACCAAAGAAACCTGAGTTCCCAAGCCCCAACCTGGGGGACAGAAGTACCCCCTAAATCCAGTGCTCAGTCCTTGCCCCAAGGGCCGCCTCTTCCAAGCCTCCTCCCTACCCCAAGACCTCTGCAGCCCTCCCCATTCGTTTCTAGCATACACTCCCTACCTCCACCCCCTCCCTTCGCAGCACACTTTTCTGACTCCCTACAGGTGCCCACTTCCGGCCTCCAGTGCCCACTCTCTTCCCCTTGAGCTTCTCTCTCCTCAGAGTGTCCTGCTCCTGTTCCAACCTCCGGAGACCCCTCCTGCCCCACCGTCGGGCAGGTCTCCCTCCCTGTCCGGAGTCTCCAGTCCTCCTTCAACGCCTCCTCCCCACTCCCGAGACCGTGCGTCGCCAGCTGCCTCTCCTGTTTCAAAAGCGCCCAACAACTTTCAGTGTCTCCCGTATGCGCAAGTCTGCTCTCTGGACACCCCTTCCTCAATGTCCCTTGCCTGGAGACCCCATCGCACACCCGAGAGCGAACCAAGGCCCTGTTCCCTCCTTCCCAGCCCCAGAGCCCATGTCGGATCCAGACCATCCACGGCAGGGTGGCACTTGTCAGCGCCGATCCAAGCCTCGGCTGTGTGCACGTGGACCCTCCCTCCGTCCGCCCCCCGGCGAGGCGCGCCCCCGTTACCATAGCGACCCCTGTCCGGACCCCAGAGGCCCTGGTCCCGCGGCAACTGGGGGGCTACGGCTCTGGCTGCAGTTACGGGGCCCACAGCTGGAGCGGACTTCCGGCAGAAAGAACCCGCCTGCCCTCTCGCGCACAGCCCGCTGGGAGTTGTAGTTTCACGAACGACCTGGCTCCTCCGGGCGACCAACCACGGGAGAGGCTCGGGCCCGCTTCCCAGCATGCTCAGCGACCGCCCCTTTCCTACCAAAGAATCCGGACTCCAAATGCATGCCGGGAGTTGTGGACGAAGGTGTCTTTGAAGGACTACAATTCCCGAGATGCTTGACAGCCAGCGAAGGGACTTGTAGGGAAATGTAGTTCTGGTCGCCTCCTTCCCAAACCCTCACCCAGGGAAAGACAGCGGATTGGGAAGAGAAGACCGCCTGGGTGACCTAGACGTGTAACTGTGTTTTCATGCTCACCCACTGCGCTGTTTCAATACAGTGAGCCTGGGGGTGTAGCCCTGCAGTGGAGCCTGTGCTTAGCATGCGGGAGGCGCTGGGTTCGTCCCTGCAATGAAAAAAAAATGCAACCAACGTTGTTTCCTTGTGGGAGACAGGTAAGCACAATTTCCCTGACTCTAAAGCTTGAATTTGACAGGTGTGGGGCCCGAATTCAATACCCAATACCGGGGGAGGGGGGGTGGCTGAATTTGAAAGTCAGAATTGTGCAAACCTGGTCATTGCTTGTCTAGGCTGTGTGACTTTGGGCCAGTGATTTCACCTCTTAACTTCTTCATCTGCCAAATAAGAAAGATCAGGGAGTCAACTCAGTAGGGTGGTTTTAAAGTATTAAGTTTTCAAAGTTCTTAGCACAGTACTCTGCACATAGTAAATGCTCAATAAATATCAGTTCACTTTTTTTGGGGGGGGCAGTACAGGGGATTGAACGGAAGGATGGTCTAACTGAGCTACATTCCAAGCCATTTTTTAAATTTTGATACAGGGTCTAAGTTGCTGAGGCTGACTTGTAATTCTCCTGCCTCAGCCTCTTTAATCACTGAGATTACAGGTATGTACCATCCTGTCTGACTTAGTTCACATCACAAATGCCCATTGTTAATATTTCCTGTCCAGAGGTCCATTTGTCTTCTCTCAGTTACTCTAATATGCCAACTGCATTCCCACCTCAGGGACTTTCCATGGCCTTACTAGTCCCTTGAAGACCTTCCCCACCTCCATTCCATGTTTGGCCTCTTCTCTTAGCTTAAACACCACCTGTGCAGATCTACAGAGACATCCTAGATGTAAAGATCCCCATAATTCTCTAGAAGTTAATTAGGGCATTTTTATAGCCTTTATTCCAACTTTTAATGGTTTCCTGGGGGGGGGATTTGTGTAGATCCTCCATTAGGTGGTGTGTCTTTGGGGGCAGGCACTTTATCTGTGAACTGTGTCTTCATCATCTAGAACACGGGCACGTAGTAAGCACTCAGTAAAGGCATGCCTATGGGTACTGATGGGAGATTTGCCCGGACAACAACAAAGCATATTACAGAACCCTGTCAATTAGATGTGTGCTCCTGACAGAAGAACCAGTACAAAACTACAGAATGTTGGCCCGGCATGGTGGTGGGTGGGTGGCAGGAGGATCGTGAGTTCAAAGCCAGCCTCAGCAAAGGTGAGGCACTAAGCAACTCAGTGAGGGCTGGGGTGTGGCTCAGGGGTTGAGTGTCCTTGAGTTCAATCCCCAGTACCCCCCCCCCGAAAGAAAAGCCCTATTGAATATTACAAGGGTAAAAAAAAGACCAGAGATGGACTACTCTCCTGCATGTCTCCTTCTCCAACAAGGTTGGAGTAGGGTGAGCAAGGTGCCCAAGGAGCAAAGCTGAAAAAGACACTTACTCAGATGCCAACCCAGCCTTGGCATGAGCCTGAGCCTGAGTGCCTCCTTTCATTTTATGCTCTGGGGACCTTGTTTGTGTCACCTTAGTCCTGACTCTGATCTCCAGTGCTCAGCACAGCACTTGGCATGAGTGTTCAATCTACATGTTAGATGATAAATGAACCAGCAGCAAGAAAACAGGCCCTGTCCCTGTCCTGGAAACATTTGCCATCCACCGGGGAAATGGACATAAATGACATTACACAAAAAAGGTAAAGATTGTTTTAATGAAGCCAGGTGCAGTGGCATAGGCCTATAATCCCAACAGCTTGGGAGGCTGGAGCAGGAGGATCTTGAGTTCAAAGCCAGCCTCAGCAATATAGTGAGTCTGTAAGCAACTCAGTGAGGTCCTGTCTCTAAATAAAATACAAAATAAGGCTGGGAATGGGGCTTGTAAAGGGTCTGGCGGAGTGTCGGAGGGAGAGACCACACAAGAGACTAGCTTCATGCAATTGCAGAAGGGGATTTATTGGGGATCCATTCCAGCGCGCTGGGCCTCCGTGCTCACTCAAGAAGGGAGAGCAGCCCAGAGCCCAGAGCAGAGGTCAAGCAGAGCTTAAGTACACTTTTTGGAGAGGGCAGGGGGCTTTGTATACATCAGAACAAATCATCATGAGGCGCGGGAAAATTGAACAACAACTCTGAGCCATGATTAGTACATTCATTGGCGGGAACAGTCTGGGCAGGGGTGATTGGTCACTCCTAAGCGG